CTATTAATAATTTTTTAATTATTTTTTATTTTTTTCTTTTGAGCCGCGCCCGCCCCCCGCAGGTGGGGCTCGGGGTTGATTTTTTTCTTCTTCTTCTTTTTTTTCTTTTTTTTTTTTTTCCCGTTTCCCTCTTTTTTTTAAAGCGAACGCGGGGACCCGCGGGCTGCCGGCCCGGCGCGGAGTCTGCGCGCCCCCGCACGTAAAAAATAGTTTTATATATTTTTTTAAAAAAATACTAGTATCACCAAAGAATAATTCGCCGAAATAATTTAAAATCTTAAAGAAAATCCAATTGGCAGCCAGTTTTTGTTTTTTTTCTCCTTTCCCTCCTCGCTGGTTGCTCGCTTTGTACAGGAAATTTGAATATCCTGGCAAGAGCCAGCTTCCCAGGGCAGCCTCGCAGTGCTCTGGGAGCTGCAGTGATGGAGCATGCACAGCACTGGGACTTTTCCCTTTCTAATTGATCCTACATAGAATATTTTTCCCGTATGTGCATCAGGTATATAAAGACAATTTTTTTATGTTTGGATAGTGAGTTTTCCAAGGTTAAGTCATTAATTGCTCACCTCAAAAACCAGGAATTTTGCTTGTGTGTCTTATGTGTGTTAAGTGTAGGTGAGGGACCATCTGCCAAGTTTCATCATCTTCTATTCTGAAGAAATCCAAAGAACTCACCGGCAACTGCAAAAGTCTGTATTTAGTTAATTGACTTTGGTGGGAAATACATTAAAACTAATCTGCTAATGCACTAAACGTTAAAGAAATATAAGAGGGAAGCTTTAAGTAATGCTTCAGGCAAACTGACCCAAATCGAAAAAGGAAAAAAAAAAAAAGTCAGTGTGCCTGTTATGTTTTGAATTATTATCTGACCAAAAAAGAAATAGGTTTTTTGTTTGTTTTTTTCCTGTTCTTAACAAATAAACTTTATAGGAACCGGGCTTCCAGATCTGCCCCTTGTTTAACTGGATGAGATGACAATGCTAAAACTTGGAAGTAACAAAAAGCATCATACTTTTCTTCTCCTCAGCAGTGTTGAGAAAAAGCTGTGGATCCTGGAATTTTACAGTGGATTTTACTGGTTTTCTGGAGTGCTGTAAGTTGAAGTCTTGTCCCGCAGGCCTTTCCGAGCGCCAGTAGCTCCCTGTCCCACTAACACCCCCGTCTTGGTAAACACAGCTGATCCTGCTGGTAACAGTGTTAGGCTCGAGTTTCACATCGAGTGAAGTTAACGAATTCATTTTTTGCGTTATTTGAATCTGCCCTTTGTAGCTGCAGTTTGGTTTCGGGTGTTCGGCCCCACCTAAGAGCGCGTCGATGGCGTGTGGTTTAGCGCGGGGAAGGTGCGCCGTGCTGCGAGGAAAACGTGCTGGGGTTTATACGAACCGTGTGCTGCCTCCCTGACCCTTTTACGGGCAAATTAGTGAAGGGGAGAAAAAAAAAAGAATTATTTTTGATGAAGCGCGTGAGGAACGACCTGCTCTCACATGGCTTCGGCAAGAACAGGGAGGAAATACATTTTCTGCGTTAATTTTGTTCCCCCAGGAGTGAGTCCTGGCTGGGCAGAGCAGCGATTTGGGGTGATGGGGAGATGCGCTGTGGGTGCCGCGCAAATGAAAGTAACTCGGCTGTGTGCGGTTCCCACGTCCGACTGCTCGGCTCCTTCACAACCCCTTCTCCTCCCGCAGCCCTCGCTCGCCTTCCGCAGCTCTGCGAGGCAATTCCTGCCGGGAGCGCGGAGCTGGAGCCATGTGGTGGCTGTCGATCAAGCGCCGGGTCTGATCCCAGCTCTTGGCCACATCTGTAAATATTCGGACGTGACTTTTGGTTAAACCTCATTGTTCAAAAGGAGGCAGCGACGAAAGTGTTGGGATTTTTTCAGAGCCAGGCAGATGTGAAGTGTTCTGGTGGTGTTACTCACACCCTTATTTTCGTTTTGTCACCATAATTTTGCCTCCCTAATGAGCACCCTGGACCTTCAGCTGTAATGAGATGATTTACTTTAGCCTTTTTGTAAAATAATCAGTGCCTTTTTATTTTTCCCAATTGTTTCGAATGAGAACAATGACTTCAGGATTTGTTTGTGCATGTCTCCTAGAAAACTGTTGGATAGCAGAGCTGGGGATTTTATTCCTATTTTTTTTTCTATATATAGGAAATGCTTAATATTTATTTGTCTGAGCTCACCTAACCCTGAAGTGAGTGGGTCAGTAAAGGCTCTGTATGCAAATCTGTCCTGTCATGGGCTCCTGTATTTATTTCCTTTCGTTTCCCATGGTGCTCCTTCTCACATTTTTTACCTTCTCTTTTTTTTCTGGTTAGTGTCAGTGGGGAGAGATGAGGTTGTATTTTAAGAGAATCCAGTATTTCAGAGGGAATTTGTTACGGTTTTGTGTGTGTGATTGGAGCGGGGGGGGCGTTTTCTATTTAATTACCCAATATACTTTGGCAAGCAGAAGTTGCATTGTTTTGTGAATTGCATTAATGGTTTTCTGCATGTTCAAATTCCCCAGTTATTTGGGGGATTTAATTAAACCTCTGTAGGTGGCTGGCTTACGTAGATGACAGGTAGAAGTTTCTATTTCTAGAAAGACTGGTGCACACACTGCGGGCGTGGAGCTCTTGGCAGCAGAAGGGCTGTTGCAGTGCTTTTGCATTGAGATGGAGCTTTTGGGGCAGTTCTTCTCATGTTTGGGGTTACCAGGAAGCAGGACACCCCTGTTCCTGGCTGTAGCAGGGTGCTGCTTGGAAGTTTAAGGTGCTTCTGGGATGCTGCTTCTACCTTACAGTGAGAGAGGGAACTTGTGGTGCCACCACAAAAGCATCAACCCCCAAACAGCCTCTCTGCATCTTACCTCCTGTCCTAGGCCTGGTTTATCTCCTAAACCAGCATAATTAAGATGTTTCCTTTGTTTCTGGTCTGCCAGGACCGGTGGAGTTGTTCTTGCTGCTGCTTCAGGGAGGAAGGTGCTGGCCATGGTTGTGCTCAATGGCTTTCCCACCTGCCCAGAGCTTCCCCTGTTTTTTCTGGCTCATCCCTCCTTGCTGTACAGCACCTGGGTTATGATTTGGGGTTACCACTGTGTGCCTTGGGTGCCGCTGACCAGAGTCACACTGAGCCAGTGGTGCCAGTAGCCGCAGCTGCAGGCATGGGGAGGATGGAGAGAGGAGGGATATGGTTACTCTGCTGCACAGTCTGCCCCATCTGGAGCTGAAAACTTGATTTATTTATTTTTTTCTTCTCCAGTTTTAAAAATAATTGCACCTGTCTGTGTGTGCCTTGGAAGGGGACCTGCCCAACAGCCCTGGTCCTCCCTCCTGGAGTTGTCCCTCGCTGCCAGCACCTCTCAAACCCTTTCTGTTGTTCCTTTGTAGCTCCTACTGAAGCAGTGATCTGATTGTGTCCAGAGGGTCTGTGCAGGAGCTGATGTGCCTGTGTTCAGAGGTGAGTTGGGAAGGTAAGCTCATGTCCCACCTGCTCCAAAATACCTGCAGCATCTGCATCCCTCTGGGTAAGTGCAGCTCCCTCTGACCCTTCTTGGGCACTGCAGGTAATACCTTGGAGATTTTCAGGTGAACTCAAATTACCCTGTTCAGCTGCCAATTTCTGATTTAAAGCTGGGTTTCCAAAGCACAAACTAAGTGTGAAAGAAGCTGAAGTGAGAGATGGGATAGTTCAAACATGGAACTATCTATTGCATAAAATATTGATGCTGTCACCTCATAAATGTACTTATTTTCTCAGATATTTCACTGCCTATCCCAAATTTCCAGTTACCCAATACTTGGCGTGACTGTTGATTTTCCCTCTCTGCTGGAGGCTGGTGGAAGTGTATTGGACCCTTGCTTTGAAAAATCCTCCTTACTGAAGAGAGATTTTGCCCTTGTTGTTGAACTAGGCAAAAGTCTGGTTTATATAAATGTAAAAACATTAATTAAAATGTCAACCTCAAGCACCATCAAAATGGATTCTAAAGCTGAACGTGTTTGCTGTTGCTTTTTTCTTTGGGATTCATTTGAAGAGATGAAAGAAATAAGATTGCACAGGTACAGTCAAGTAAAACATTGTTACAGAAGTAATTAATGGTAATATTATGTGGGGGGTTGTTTTGATTTAGCTGGTACAGTGTAACACTGGGTATGTGTTTCCTTTGCAGCAAGTAGCAGCTGCTCTTTAGGGAGTTGTCTGGTGCTGTCAGTGTTGAGGACACTGAAGTGGTGAAAATACACTGCTTTTTTTGTTGAAAAATGTTTGATTTCAATTTTAAAATCACTTGGCATGGGTCACAAGAGCTTTTGAAATCCCTATTTTTAAGTTTCCTAAAGAAGCAGGGACTCGGTGGCGCGTTGGGTGCGAGGGGATGGCACAAGAATTCAAACCCAAGGCGTCATTTCTGACATTGTTCAGGTTTTTTTGTGATGCTGCTTTTTAAGAAAATGAATTGAAGGAAGTTGTCACATAACGGGAGGGGGGGGAGGTTGAAAGGAAATACAAAAAATATCAGTCTGTTTGCATGGCTCCTGTGCAGCCCAGGCAGGCTGGTGTGTAAGTGCCACTGGCAGCTGCCTTCTGCAGGGCTGCAGCCTCTCCCTGCCCTGCTCTGGTGCTTTCTGCTCTGCTACAGGCAGGAAATGTGATGAAGTTCCAGAGATCTTTAGTTTCTGGTCATATAAGGTTTGTCCATTCACATGGTAAATAAGCATCATTTAATCTTTTTTAAAAAAAAGGATTTTTTTTACATATCTCAAAAGTCAAATTGAGCTGAATAAAGATATTTTAAGGAAAATTTAACAGGTTTCAACTGTTGGAATATGGATTTATCAGAAATACTAACATTGTGACTTCTGGAAAATCCTTGATGTTCAGCATCACCTAGGAGGAAAGTACAAGGTAATATTTCCCCACAGACCAGTTGGAAGAGCTGGGAAGTTCTGCAGGCTCTTCACAGTAGCAAAAGCAACTACTAAGTGTGATTTGGGGTTGGGGGGAACAGTTAATTTCTGACCTTGTTTCTGAAACTGGTTTCTTTGCACTGTATAACTGCTTGTTCTCTTATAGTTACAGACTGTCTGATAGCACCTGTGAAGAAAAGAAACCCTGTCCTGTGGTGGTAATGCATGCATGTTAAATGTCTTCATTGTAGAGTGTTCTTCAGTTCTTTATATCATGGTTTAAAAAAAAATTACATATATATATATTCAAAATACCATTTGGAATGTCAACATTCAGTGGGCTTTGAGGAGATGTAGCAGCACATCATGGTTTGTAGGGACAAGGAGATACAGACCATTCTGGGCTGCCTCATTACCTCAAGGATAAGACAAGAAAGTGAGCTTCTGGTTATCATAGATGTGGAAGCTAACACATTCCCATGTATCTCATTAGTTCAGGTATGTGTAGACACGTTCTCTTGGTGCTTGTACTGTGCACATCCTTTGCAGTTACAGATACATCCCTGTGAGCTCGTGTGTCTGGCCCTGCAGGCAGGAAGGACTTGTAGCTCCTTTTTGTTCTCCAACATGGGCATGACCACATCCTATACTACATCTACTCCTCAGCTATTGCTCTTGGGTCCTTTCCCTGGCAAAGGATTGAAGGATTGGCCAAGGGCCCTTGCCCTGTGTTTGGGGCAGAGAGGGGGGTCTGGAAGCCATGGAGAGCTGTCAGCAGTGCTCTAGCAGCACGTAAATACTGGAGTTTGGGATTGCCTGTTGCTCTCCAGTATTGCATTGCTGCTTTAGTGAGGCTGGAAATCGGTCCCTGCCGCACGAGCCGGGGCTCTGGCTCTTGGGGTCCCTCCGTGGCACCCCCACGGTGCTTCCCACACTGCCGGGGGCTCTGGGCTCCCACCCCAATAAACCACTGCGGAGGCAGCAAACAACGAGGGCTTGGTGTCGTGAATGGGGAAGGGGCAGGGGCTGCACCCAGCACTGCCCCAGGGTACCAGGGGTGGAGGGAGCAGGGAGCACTTCCCACTGTCCAGGAGATGGTGAGGAGCTCTTCTCTGGGCTCTGGGGGGAGGGAGGACCTGGGGCTGCACAGGGGCAGTGGTGGCCCCTGGGTGTGCCCTATTCAGAGCCTGGGGAGGGGGTGTGGGGGACATTGGGGGGATGCAAGGGCTGGTGGGAACCAGAGCTTCAGCTGGGTGAGAGGGAGGGACACTCATTTGTGCCTGGGGTGCTCCTGGGGAAGCCCTGCTGAAGGAACCATCATCCTTCCCCAAATTTCTGCAGCTGCCCCAGCCTGTGTCAGGACACCCCAGCTCTGGTACAGCTGGCATAGGGGGCCTGCCAGTGGCAGCATCTGGCACCACTTGGGCCATGGTGGAAAGAGTTTGGACCACCTGAGGATTTGCTTGGAGACCCACCACTCCTCCAGAGCTGTCCCAGCCCCATGGTGAAAGGTTTTTCTGTAATATTGCACCCCTTTGAGGCTTCCAAACCCTGCTGGAATAGACAGGAGGGCCACCACGGAGATCAGGGATGCTGCTGGGAAGGGCTGGGGTGGTGCCTTCCTGGTCAAGATTCATCTGCTATGGTGTGAATGAGCTTGTCGGTCCTGCCAGTGATTGTGCATCATTAACAGCCCCGATCCAGCAGCCTCCTGGTGGTTGTGAATTCCAGAACAGTTGTTTTTTTCAGCTATTTTCAGGAATTCCTACATCACAGCCAATAGTTGTAGGGCAGGGGGAAATTCTCTTCCTGATTTACAGCTGCACTCCCTGCTCCTGCTCTGTGCAGGGAGTGTCAGCACTGTTGGAACATAGGCACAGGCACCCCTGGACCACCAATGTCTCTGGCCTGGGGCAGTGCAAGGGGGGTGTGAGTGGGGAGGAGCAGCTTTTAAAAGCCTTTGCCCTCAGAAGGGACAATCTCTCAATGTTTGGGTGCACAATTGATGCATTCTAAACCTGGAATACCAGACGCTGGTATTCCACTTGTTTCTGTAGAATGGTTCATTCCCACTCAACAAGTCAAGTCATTAATTGCCATGTACCACACTGCTTTCCCTCAGGAAAATAACTTGGTGAATTACTTGGTCAACAGAGAAATTGGTCAATAAAGTTGGTAATTGTCTGTACATTTATATTAATTTTGCATCACTTTTTTTTTTTTTAAGGAATGTTTCTACTGATATTTATAGGTGGAATATAAGATTTAAAATTGCTTTTAGTTTTTTTGGGCTATTTCTGTTGTGGTCAGTTTGATTTTTCTCAGCTAGGAAAAGACATTTTCACCGTGTTCACAAACTGAAGACTCCTGCTAAAACTGCTTTCAGGTGTCAGTCTCCTGCAGGATCAAAATGGGAATAATGGGAGAGTAAAAGCACTGCAGAGTCTGCGGGGCAGCAGACACAAATAAAATATAGAGGTTAAATGAAGGCAATAGGATCCCAGGGAAATGCACCCCTGGAGGTGGCTGTGCAGGGCAGCACAGGCTGTGGCAGTGATGGATGTGCCAGAACTGGGGCATGGGGGTGTCAGGAGCAAGGGCTGAGGGTGCAGGATGGGGCTCCTGCCTGGCTCCCAGGACCTTGTGTGTCCCCACAGATACTTCAGGATATTGCTAATGATTAATACAGAAAGTCCAGGGTGCAGGGGGGGCAGACATCCAGCTGTGCTTTTCTCTCTGAGAAGCTAGGGAGGCACCTATCCTTTTTTTTCCGGAGATGTAGAAGTTTGCCTTTGACACAAGTGCAAGTTGACTTCCATAATAAATTTGAGCACAAACCACTTAGAAAAAAACAACACTAAATGCCTTTGCTGAGCATCCCTGGGCTGACCAGTGCCCCTCAGACCCACACTGCAATGCTTTGAGGCATCTGCAGAGGGGCAGCAGCACAGGCAAAGGAGCCTGGTAAACTCTGTGTAGGATAAGGCAAGATGTGCTTTTTTTGTTTAAATGTGAAATCTGCTGCATCAGGAATGCATGTGACCACTGTAGAGGAAGAGTCTTTGAGTTCCCTCAGTAGTTTTTGCTGTGATTTTATAAACAAGTTGGAAGGCAGCAGTTCCCTGCGGTGGGTAAATACGTGCTGCACATCGTCACAGCACTACATGGCTGCTGGGCTTAGAGGGCAGTCATTAAACAAGTCTCTAATTCCCACGTTTCTACACCAATCTTATTTTTTTTTTTTTTTTAATTTACGCCAGACCAAAATTCTCCCACTTACTAAGACTCTTATGTTGCTCTGCTCACAGTACCAGGTACCTCCATTAGAGGTGGTGTGGGTGTCAAATGAGGTGTTGCAGATTCCTGTAAACACTGGAAAAGCAACCCAAAAAGCCACCTTATCTACCTTCAGCATTTTTGTTCATCTCCTTTGATGCAGAAGGAATTTTTGGCAAAGGTTGGCAGCTCATTGTGGTATCCAACATTATCTTGCTTTTCCTGCACTTCTTGCCCACCCACCTCATCTGCTTTTCCCCAGCTCACATCCAGCGTGTTGGGAGCTGGGACTGCCTTTGGCAGGTGTTAGTGCAGTGCACAACAGCCACTCCCAGTGCCTGATGTTAATGACTTCAGGTCCTGCTCTTTGCACTACAGAGACCTTTCATGTGTCTCATTCTGTCTTTGCGGGGTAGCAGACCCTGGCTCAGTACCCAGCTGTGCAGCTGCCCCCAGTGCAAAGCTGCACAAAGAAAAAAAATCTTGGGTTAAATTAGATGTGGCAGATATCAGCCACATGGCAAAACAGAAGCCAGCTCACCTCTCCCATGAGGGTTTGCTAAAGTGACAATGATGACCAGTGCAAACGATGGCTCTGACACCCTCATGACACAGTGGTTCCTGACAACAAACTCACCAAATGGAAGAAAAACACAAATTCAAGTGTTTTATTTTCTGATGCAAGATGTTGCTCTCCACAATTTCTCATGTAAACCCATCCTTGTGGCTGTTCAAGTAACAGGATACTGAAGTTTACTCAAACCGTGATTCAAGCAGAGCATATATTCATTTATAAACTGTCCAGGGTGAGTTCTCATACCATATAGTCGGTGAGAGAAAATAGCTTCCCCCTCAGACTGAAAAGAAATGATTTGGGTGTGCAGGACTGATGTGCCAGGTAAGGTCTGATGGTTGGGAGGGGGCTGGAGGTGTGGAAGGTGCAGCTCATCAAGAAGGGAATTGTGATTGTGCTATACTAGAAAGCACAGGGTGTTTTCTTTGTGGAGTTTACACCACAGAAGATATTTCTACCCCGTATTTTCTCTTCTCTGCTGCAGGGTATTTTGGGCTTTGTGAATGGAGGAGAAAAATTTGTCATGAAAAGAAACGGGAGGAAAGATCTGATAAAGGCACATCAGTGAACATTTGGAAGGTCTCTCACACACACACACACACACACACACACCATTACCCTGCTCCTCCCTGCCTTAGGGTTGGCTTAGTCACGTCCCAGTTCCTCAGATGGGAAACAGGCAAGTGGAGCATCAGCACCGCAGCTCTGGCGCGTCCCGGACGCGCAGGAGAGGCAGCACGTTCTGTCGATCCCAGGCAGTCTGTTCCTGCGAGAAGGATTCTATCCCTCTCCAACCCGCGGGACAGCCAAGCCAACCCTTTGTGTTTCTGCCAGCCCTGCCCCAGCTGCCCGCAGCCCGCGCTGGCCGAGCTCCCAGCGGCACAGACGGAATTCCCTGCGGATCCGGGGGCTCCAGGGGCAAAGCCAGCCCCACAGCGCCATCCACACCCCTTCCCTCGGGCACAATCCACGGGGGACACGGGGCTTTCCGTGGCCGGGCTGGAACAGGCCAACTAAACGAGGTTATTTCACTGCCACGGGTAGCAGAATATCGTGGGAAAAGTACATTTTGCTTAAGTCTCCAAAAATCAACTCTGTAGCATGCCCGCTGGTGCTGCTGAGATTTCAGGATTATAAATTGGGCGCAGATGAGCTACCCAAGAAGCCACCTAAGAAAACTGGGGCTGGAGCTGGAAATACCTGATTCCTTATTTATACAGACAGACAGGATCTACTGGGGTATTTTCCTGATTGTGAAGGGCTGGGGTTGGGAATCACAGTTTCTGAGAGGACACTGGGAATCCCCTCACACAGCCCTAATGCCCAGAGCTGTATCCTACAGGTACCGTGATTCGCTACAGTTCACCTGGAGATATGCAGGAGACACACGAGCGTTGGTTCCCTTCTGGTTACAGTGGGGACAAAATAAAGATGCCACTAATAATAATTGTTAGACAGACACCAGCCTCTTCCTGGAGCAGGTTAATCTACCTGCACCTTGGTTTATTCACCATCACTGGCCTGTCTCTCCTACCTGCTTCCACAAGGATTTCCCCCTCCCAAGATGAAGTTTCAAATCATCACTTGGTGTTTGACTGGAGCAGAGCCCCCACACAGAAGGGCCTTTGCAGCCACTCAAATGCATCCCCAACACACACCCTGCACCAGGCTTTCATCACCTGGCAGTTACCAGCACGACCCCTCTCTCAACTTCTCTAGGGATGAAAACCCTCACAGTCAGTTCTTGGATTGTGCTGAATCTTTGTGCTTTTCTGGCCCTACCCTCTTCACCTTGGTGCTGCAGAGCTCACTGGGTACTGGCAACTGTACAGAGATGCAAGTGTTTTCCCTGTCAGAATACTCATCAAACTACATCTGCTTGAGTAATTAAATACTAGAACAATTAAAAAAAAAGAAAGAAAAAACCAGACCACAGTGTCTCAGCTTATGAAGGTGCTTGCCAAGAGTGGAGATCTGATCTTGCAAGGTGCAACCTGCTGCACAGGAATGAAAGGCAGACATTGGGCAGGGCAGACAGTCCTTTAATGACTCCTAACCAGCCCTGTGTAAGCACTGTCAGCTCCTCGCTGCTGGATTAGCTCCTGCTTGACAGGATTGTCGCAGCATAAGAGACAATGA